CTCAAGCTATCCCCCTGGGTAGAGTGCCATGGCATCACGCTCACAGCAACCTCCAACTCCTGGGCTCAAGCGAGTCTCCTGCCTCAACCTCCCAAGTAGGTGGAACTACAGGCGCCCGCCACAACGCCTGGCCATTTTTTGGTTGCAGCCATCATTGTTGTTTGGCGGGCCCAGGCTGGGGATTCGAACCCACCACCATAGGTGTATGTGGCTGGCACCTTAGCCGCTTGAGCCACAGGCACCGAGCCCTTTTTTGTGTTCTTAAAAAGTCATTGCCTAATCCAAAATTATGAAGATTCACACCTAGATTTTCTCCTGGAAAGAGTCTTGTAGTTGTAGCTCTTATAATTGGATCAAATTCAGTTTTGAATTAATTTTGTATATGATGTGAGATAGGGTTCCATCTTCATTCTTTTGCATGTGAATATCCAGTTATCCCAGCACCATTGGTTGAAAAGAATATTCTTTCCTCCCTTGAATTATCTTGTTATCCTTGTAGAAAATCAGTTAAATGTAGCTGTTTGAGTTTAATTCTAGATTTGATTCTATTCCATTACTCTTTATGCCTGTTCTTTTGCAAATACCACATTATCTCAACACGTTATCTTTGTAGTACGTTTTGGAAATCAGGAAATGTGAGTCCTCCACCTTTGATCTTTTTCAAGATGTTTTGGCTATTCTGGGTACTTTGCATTTCCATGTACATTTTAGGATCAACTTGTTGATACCTAAAATCAACAAGGGAAAGCTAGAACTTTGGGTATTGCATCAATCAGTTTGGGATTATTGCCAATTTAATAATATCAAATATCAGAGCCCAGACACGGTGGCTCAAGCCTGCAATCCTAGCACTTTGGGAGGCTGATGCAGGAGGATTGCTTAAGGCTAAGAGTTTAAGATCAGCCTGAGTGACATAGGGAGACCCTGTCTTCAGAAAAAATAAGAAACTTAGCCAGGCATGGTGGCACACACTTGCAGTCCTAACTACTTGAAAGGTAGAGGCAGAAGGATCACTTGAGCCTAGGAGTATGAGGTTGCTGTCAGCTATGATTGTGCTACTGTACTCCAACATGAGTGACAGAGCAGGACCCTGTCTCTTAAAAAAAAAAATCTCCTCATTAGCATAGGGTTTCTTTCCCATTTATTGAAGTCTTCTTTAATTGCTTTTGATGATATTTTGTAGTTTTCAGCATTTAAGTCTTGTATTTATTTGTTAAATTTGTTTCTAAGTATATTTTATCCTTTTTGATGCTTTTGTGAATGGTATTTTCTTTCTTTCTTTTTTTTTTTTTTTTTTTGGTAGAGGCAGAGTCTCACTTTATCGCCCTTGGTAGAGTGCTGTGGCATCACACAGCTCATAGCAACATCCAACTCCTGGGCTTAGGCGATTCTCTTGCCTCAGCCTCCCAAGTAGCTGGGACCACAGGCGCCCACCACAATGCCTGGCTTTTTGGTTGCAGTTTGGCCGGGGCCGAGTTTGAACCCACCACCCTTGGTATATGGAGCTGGCGACCTACCCACTGAGCCACAGGCGCCTCTCTGTAAATAGTGTAAATAGTGTTCACAATTTCACATTTGGGTTGTTCATTGCCAAAGTATATAAATAGAATTGGTTTTCATATATTCATCTTGGATCCCGCAACCTCAGTGAACATATTTATTAACGCTAATAGTTTTGGGAGTTTTGTATGTTCGTTCCCTGGGATTTTCTGTATTTGAAACTTTATTATCTGCAAATAGAGATAGTTTTACTTCTTCCTTTCCAATCTGGGTGCTTTTTATTTTCATTTTTCTTACCTAATGGGCTTGGCTAGAACCTCCAGCACCATGTTGAAAAGAAGTGGCTAAGAACAGACATTCCTATCTTGTTCCTGATCTTAGGGAAGTATGTAGTCTCCCTGGTGAGTGTGATGTTGTCTTTAAGTGTGGGGTTTTGTAGATGGGCTTTATCAGGATGAGGGACATTCCCTTCTAATGTCTTACCATGAAAGGAAGGTGGGTTTTGTCAAGTGCCTTTTCTGCGTCTGTTGAGATGATTGTGTCCTTTTTTCTACCTGGTATTAACATGGTGTATTGCTTTGATTGATTTCCACATGTTGACACTACTCTTGTTCTGCAGTTTGTCCCAGAGCAGAGGAGCATGCTATGAGGGACTCTTGATCCCAGGGGGTGCTTTTCTGTTAGGGAGGCCGTGGGCAACATCAGGGGCTTGGGGGATCATATTGGCCATGTGTGGCCTCCTGGACTCACGATGGTAACTCTCGGTAGGAGATGTCACCTCTGTGCCCCAGTCTCCTCATGTGTAAAATGGGAGTGACAGTAGTGCTTCCTCATGGGGCTCTTGTGTGACTTGGAACAGTGTCTGGCATGGAGCAGGTGCCATTCATTGAGATGTTGTCCATCCTGTGACATAATGTGAAAATTTGGATGGGCTGGAATGGAGAGGGATGGTTGAGGGGGATATTGAACCCCATAGCCAAGCTGATTCACCTGCTTTACAAACTCTGATGGGGAAGTCTGGAAGCTCTCACAGGAAGTGGTCGGTTTGACCCCAGCAGCATCTGTTTGTCCTGTGGGGGGGGGATGGGCCAAGGGTGCAGCCCAGGCCCCAGCCAAGCCAGGTGAGCCCCTGTTTAAGACTTCCTGCTGCAGAATCCTCTAGATCTTCAGGCCTAAGAGTCACATCTGTGGGGCTGGCTGCAGGGGCTACGTGTTGGCAGCAACAGGCCTCTTGCATAGACTGCTCTCCCGCTTGATGGCATGGAAGGGCCTGCCAGCCCCTCATTGGCATCCCTGCCTGGGCTCTGCCTCTGGGTGGGGTGCAGAAATGGGGCCTTGTTTGGATAACAGCTTGTAGCTGAACACAGAACGTACCTCTCCCCATGCTGATTTCCTGACTTCGCCTCTCCTGGGCTATCAGCTAATCCCAGTTCCTTGATCATCAGATGGCCTCTGTTCTGGGCACTGTATTTCCAGACACCATCAGGCGACATTGAGAATTAAACAAGAGCTTTTTGTGCAGAGGGCCTGTCACACTAGGAACTCAGCAAACACTGGCTCTAAGCCACCCTTCCTTGCATCCCCAAAGAAATTCTGCAACCCCCACCCAAAATTTTGTGCCTGTTTGCAGTTTGGACTTTACCCAGGGTACAAGGAGGGGATGGTGATGAGGGGGAAGACAAAAACGCTTTTATAAAAACATGCCCTGTGTAATTCTTTTTATTATTATTATTTTTTATTAAATCATAACTTCGTAAATTGATGCATTTATGGCCCTGTGTAATTCTTGGCATTGGTTTTTATAAGATAAATGTGGCTGGATCCTACCTTTGTTTAATGCACTGACCTCCAAGCCAGCCAAATAGCTAGAAGCTCTTGGGACAAGCTTCTTTACTTGTTTATTATTGGTTTGGTTCCCAAGTTTGTGGGTGGCGGGCCACCCTCACCTCACTAATGCTCAGCCTTTCTGGCCTCTATGCCCCATAGTACAGGGTGGTCCTGCCTCCTAGGGAGCTCATGGTGTTTTCAGGGAGGGGACTGTGACAAGAAGCAGCAGTAGCAAGCAGTAATTTCACTGTCAGGAGGGAGATTCGGAATACATTTTGTTATCCCACAAAAATCTATTTTACTCCAATTCCATGCTTGATAACCAGGAGCATCACAGTGAAAAAGCATCTTGGCTTCTAGAGCCTTTCAGAAAATGAGACTTACTGTTAGAGTCCATGGAGTGGGTGCCGGAGAGGACAGCACCCATCTGAGGCTGGGAACTCAGCTGAGATGGGAAGGATGAGGATGCATTGGCCAGGGCCTGGGTTGGAGTGTGGCTGCTGGAGACCCAGCGAGGGTGCCTGAGGGTTGGGTGCCGGGGCCCATGAGGGCCACGTTGGGAGCACCACATGGTTCTCCCTGGCATGTTAATGTAGTGACGAGGTGAGGGACAGGGCTGTGTCCAGGTGTCACCACAGGTAGGCTCTTTCAGTTCCTCCTTATGGTATTATTTTACAAACTGGCATGTGCAAAGCCCCCAGCACAGTGGTAGACCCATGCTAGAAGCTATATTGTTTCCTCATTTTCCTGCGATTATCCTTAAGCGGGTAAGTCACAATGGTGGAACAAGTCTTTATCGAACTAGTTATTAAGTTAAAATTCAGGTTACGAAATGTATCCTGTTATAAAGTGCTGTGTGTGCAAATGTATAAAATAAAGGCTAAGGAGGTAGTAATTGTTGTAGTATCTGTGAATATGTATTTTTCTTTTGCTGTTTGTGTTCTTCAAATTTTATCTGATTATTATATACGAGCATTTTAATTACAGAAATGTTAGAAAATGTAATTAAAGAATATGCTGCTCTTACCATCCATACACACATGGATGCAGGGTACTGCAGAGTTTGGGGACGGTCAGACCTTGGAGTGCAGGACCTGTGGGGGCCTCCTTGGGGAGGAGGGTGTCCCAGAATGTGGATCTGCAGCAGCTGCCCAGGAGCTGTGCTGACCAAGCCTCCCCTGTGCTCTAGATGACAGGATCTGCTCGCCACCCTTCATGGAGCTCACCAGCCTGTGTGGGGATGACACCATGAGGCTGCTGGAGAAGAATGGCCTGGCCTTCCCATTCAGTATGTACTATAGCATTCTGGGCACTGGGGCAGGGACAGGTTATCATGTATGGGTTACAGTCCTCTCTGAATCGAAACCCGCCTGAGGAGGGATGAAGGCCTGGGCTGCTAAGGAGGGCAGGGCCCTGCCATAGAGGTGGGTCCTCTGGCAGGAGGGTTGGCCTCAGGCATACTCCCTGCCTGGCCTGGGGCATCTGTCTGCATCCCCCGGAGTGAGCACAGATCCTAGTCGTAGCCCCTCTTGCCTGCCCTTCCTGCCACGTGCTGCAGGAGTTCCTTCCTGGTAGTGTCAAGTCCTCCTGTGTTTGCAAGGGCAGACCTTGTGGGTGAGCAGCCTCACTAATTCCTCTCTGCTTTTCTCTCCCCCACCCATAGTTTGCAAAACCAGAGTGGCTCATGGCACCAACTCTCATGAGGTGAGTGAAAGATGATTTGATCCCTTTCCCACCTCTATGCTGCTTCTATCAGCTCATCATGTCTTGCTGGGACCCAGTTGCTCTGTGCACAGAATCCCACACTAGCACCACTCCCCATCCTACATAGTCCTGGCTTCATGGGAGGTAGCTGACTCCCTCCCTTTCCCACACTCCACAGGAATCGAGCAGAGTTGGGTAGGTTTGTACACTGTTTGCAGCCTCACCCTGATGTCTGTCCTATCCACAAAGCTGGGAGGATGTGCTGTGCTCCAGCAGAGGCAGGTGGAGGCAGCCGTAACAGAGCACCGTATGCCTTCTGCTTTCAGCTCAGATCAGGGTGCCAGCAGGGTTGGTTTCTGGTGAGGGCCCTCATACTGCCCTGCAGATGGCCACCTTCTCACTGTGTCCTCACATGATCCCTTCTGTGTGCAAGGGCAGAAAACAAGAGGGAGCTCTCTGGTCTCTTCTTATAAGGGCACTAAGTCTATCATGAGGACCCCACCCTCAGGACCTCATCTAATCTCCTCCCAAAGGCCCCATCACCAAAACCACCATACTGAAGCTTAGGCTTCAACGTACAAATGTTGGGGGACACATTCAGTCCATTCCAGAGTCCATGGAAGCCATTCCCCAAGTTCAGCCTGCCTCTGGCTTTCTGTCCTTTGGGCCGAGGCATCATCATTCCCTGAGGGTCCGTTTGGTGGCAGGTATTGGCTGGGCTGAAGTGTGGGCTGTTAGCTCTGAGATGATTCCCTCACTGCCCACGAGGATCTGCCAGTGCTGCTGAATTTAGGAGGCTGAGGAGAGAAGGAAAGGGGAGCAGCACCAGGTGGCATGCCTTCATTTGCCCACTTCCCCATCCCTTCTCTTATTCACTTTATGGGTGGTGCTCACACCATCTGGCAGGGGGATAGGTGCGTAAAATGTGAGTCCTGCCCTAGTCAGGGGCAGAGAGTCCTTAGTGCCAGTGAGATGTGGTAGAGCGTGAGTGTGTGAGGAATTTCAGGGACCAGAGGATCAGAGGGCTATACAGGGGCTTCCTTGGGACTCTGTTGCCCTTGCCATCCTCAGGAGCCTACCTGGAACCTTGTCCTCAGCCCGCAGACATAGCCCAGCCTGGGACCACATTGGGCACACATGAGGGTGCACTAGACAAGAGCTATTTGACCAAATGGGCCCTGTGGGGAAAGCCTGTCCCTGGGCAGCCCCGCTGTCATACATGCTCCCAGGAGTTTGTGACTAAAAATGGAAGACCCGCCAGCAGTGACCTTTAGATTTATGTAGTGCTCTTTATCCCTGGCATATATTTGTGGGGAAACATCTATAAACAGACAGTGTCAGTCTAGCTAGGGACGTGCTGTGATGGGACTGGCCCTGCCCGTGGGAAGGAATGTGGACACGCCGGAGGAAGGCATCGCCGGCTGCGGAGGTCAGCCGTCCCCCGAGATTAGGAGCCCCCATGGAGTCTTCTGTGAATTCTAGCCTTCCCTGTCCTTCTTGGCCTGCCTGGGCTCTGTACAGGCAGCAGTGGCATTATCCTCCAGGGTCTGCTTGAGTGCCAGGCAGGGAGGGAGCAGGGAGGCTGTGGGGGAGTAGCAGCAGCAGCAGCGGCAGCAGTGTCCTCCCAGTGCCCACACCCCCTGACCCTGTCCTTGCTCTGCCACCTTCCAGTCAGAATGAGTCACTCTGGGAGGAGGGAGCCTCTTCTGCACTTAAGAACTGGGGCCACTCCTGGCTTTGTGTGTTGACATTTGTGTGACTTTGGGCAAAATCGCTGAGCCCTCCCAAGTGCCTCCCCCACACCTGTGATTAGGTAGGAAAGTGTCCCTGATCAGCGTCCCGCATCCCAGCCTGCTCAGCCCTGCTTCTGAATCCCCAGCCCCTAACTGAACACAAACCCAGATCTGGTTCTACCAAACCACTCTTGATTTCATTTTGGGTTCACGGAACTATTTGGGCTTTTATTTTTTTTTTAGAGCCAGCAGCAAATAGTCTGCTCCAAGCAGGAACTTTCACTTGTTCATTTTAAAACTACCCAGCCAAAAGCTCAAAGCACCCTGAAGCCACCCCCTGGTGGTTACTGTTGCTATTCTATGACGAGGAAAATGGAGGGTAAGCAGGGTGAGTGGCTCGCCTGAGCCCGTGCAGCAGATGCTGGCGTGGGCATTTGAACCCCTGCCTGACTCGGAGCTGCCTCTGCTCTTTCCTCTTTTCCATGTATGGTTCTTTTATTCTTGCCAGAAGGCTGAGGAAGTATTCACTCCTCTTCCGTATCCCCCTCCCAAGCACACACATGTGCTTTTTTTTCCCTTATGTGACCTGTTTTCTGCTTCTGCCCAGCTGAGCTCCTGGCACAGTGGGTTGGTGCTCTGTGACAGTTGACATGAAGGGTTGCAACCAGTGTAGGCAACCAGCTGTCCAGGCCCTGTTATCCCTGCTCAGCAGCCCCAGGCATCTGGTGGCTCCTTCCTAGGGCCCTGTAGGCTGGGGGATTAGCCATGATCCTGGCATGGGCACCTGGATTAAGTAGGCTGTGGGCCAGCTGGCCCCACTGTCCTAGCATCCTTAGAACAGGCTCTAGGGAGACCCTGCCTTGGCCAAAGTAGAAAGGTTTTCTGCAGCTGCCCTTCTTCCCTCCCTACCTCAGCCCCATGTCCCTGAAAGAGTCAGGAACTAGGAACATGGAGACATGCTCCTATTGGCAGAGGATCCAGGAGGCTCAGGGTGTTAGAGTACAAGCCCAGATGCTGGACATGCCTGATTGCATTCCAGCTCTCACTTTCCAGCAGGTTACTGAAGTCCTCAGGGCCTCAGCATCCTCATCTATAAAGGGGGGTGGTAGTATGACCACCTCAGAGGTGCGTTGTGATGATGATACCAGGTATCACTCAAAGTGAGTCCTCTAGGTGAGGATAAAGAATGGGGGCTGGCCACAAATGCTTGATGAGAAGCAGTGTTTGTCCTTAAACACAGGCCTTGTCCCAAGGCCTCCAAACCTCTGATTCATACATAGTCATCTATTTCTTGCCTTCCTCTCTTGGGTCTTTCTGGAGGATCCTTTGAGATGGCATAGGGTTGAGTAGTTCTCAGCCCAGGGGCTCGCATTCTCTGGACCGCAGTGTAAATAGTGCCGTCAGGAGTTGTGCAGTATGCAATGAGCTCAACCCTATGTGGCAGGCCTAATGGATGCAGGATTTCCCAACACCTGCAGCGGAAGTGAACTGATCCCCCAAGTGTTCTTACTGTGTCCCACTCCACTCATCCTGGCTGAGATTCACCTGGGGGAGCCCTCATGCCACAGGGCCCAGGATGGGCTTTGGTGGAAGTGCCCCATATGTCCCAGGACAGTGGACTCTAACAAGCCTATGGCCCCTGTCTTCTCAGATGGCCATTGTGTTCAACCAGGAGGGCCTGAATGCCATCCAGCCCCCCTGTGTGGTCCAGAATTTCATCAACCACAATGCTGTTCTGTACAAGGTGTTTGTGGTCGGCGAGTCCTACACCGTGGTGCAGAGGCCCTCACTCAAGAACTTCTCTGCTGGCATGTCAGGTAATTAACTGCTCCTCTACTTCTCAGGCTGGGCCAAGCCCAGGGGCACAGCTGGAACATGGCTCTGGTTCTGTCCTTCCACACTTCCCCCACCCCCTTCTGTTTTTTTTTTTTGAGGGATGGAGGGATGGTTTGAAGGTTGAAAGGCTCGTGTGTAATAGATCGATAAAGAGGTCTTGAGGAACTAGTGAAAAATCCCTGTTCTACCAGGTCATTGTAAGGGCTCCACCCATCTGAGCCAGCATAGACTCCTAGAAGCATCTGGAAGTTTTTTTTACATCCAGGACACTTCTTGGGGATCTACGCAACAATGAGACTCAGGAGGAAAGTTCTGGAATGGCATAGTGTGGATTGGCCCCATGGGGGGGAAGGGGCCATAGTGCTGACTGATCCTTGTGCCGGCCTTACTGCAGGTCTGTACTGTCTGCATGAAGAGGTACTGGGGTCAGTCAGTACCCCGTCACAAGTGGCAGCTAGCTAAGGACCACGGGCAGGTCAAGGTGGGTATGGTCCCCCACTCTGTGCCTCCCCACATTGTGGGGGCCTTGCTGCCGAGTGTGTTGTGAATCAGTGGATGGTGTCTCAGTGGGTTGTTCATGTGGTGCTGTTGGCCCTGGCACCCATGAGACAGTCCGTGGGGAGCATCCGGGGACCCCCACTGCCCTGAGGGGATTTCCGTTAGCTAGCCACTCACCTTGTACCAGGCCTGACGCCAGGTGAGCCTTGGCCATTTCAAAAACTAACATCAAATTAAACATTTGTTGGCTTTGGACTGCTCCAAAAACTATTCTAGTGGCTCCTGAAGGCACATCTGAGGAAAATTCCAGAAATTTTGGACAGCGTCAGTGTCTTTGGAATAAGCAGTTCCTTGGAGGATATTTACTGGTGTGGTTTGTTTGAACACTTGGGCTTCTTTCTCTTCGTCTGAGCAAGCGGATGTGCCCCTCCTGGGACTACGTGCCACTGTCCTCTTGAATGACATTCAGCTGTCCCTGTCTTTCCCTCTCGGCTGTTCTTCCCGTGCATGACTTTTCTTTCCAGTAACACCACACAGAGAGCAGACACTTTGGCAATGTGTGCATTTCCATTTCTCTTCTGAGGGCAGGCAGCCTGCCCAGCCAGCCCCGGAGATCCCAGACTCGAGGCTTCATTTTCAGGGTTTGGGGCATTCTTGTTCTAAGACTGGTCCCACCCCACATACCCACCCACCCACCAGGATGCTGGAAGGAGTTGGGGATGGCAGGTGGATGTCTGGAGATGTCTTTTTGAATGAACTATAGACCACCAAGAGCCGTTCTTCTGACTTGTGGGCCAGAAGAGGCTAACATTCTTTAAAAATTCTTTTTCTTATTTTCCTGATTTTTTTTTTAAATACATACTTTAAATTTATGGAAAATACTGAATAGTTGTATCTTATATCAACTTCTTTCTTTTTTCCTTTCCTTTTTATTTATTTACTTTTTTGAGACAGAGTTTCGCTTTGTCACCCTTGGTAGAGTTCCCTGGTGTCACAGCTCACAGCAACCTCAAACCTTTGGGCTCAAGTGATTCTCTTGCCTCAGCCTCCCAAGTAATCCTTTTTTTTGGGGGGGACAGAGTCTCACTTTATCACCCTCAGAAGGGTGCCGTGGTGTCACATAGCTCAAGCAACCTCTAACTCCTATGCTTAGGTGATTCTCTTGCCTCAGCCTCCCGAGTAGCTGGGACTACAGGCACCTGCCACAATGCTCAGCTATTTTTTTGTTGCAGTTTGGCCAGGGCCAGGTTCAAACCTGCCACCCTCGGTATAAAGGGCTGGTGCCATACCCACTGTGCCACAGGCACCACCCAGTCCTTTTTTTTTTTTTTAAACCAAATCATTCTGAAAGTAATTTCTCTTTTCTTAATCCACACAGACATGTGGCTGTTTTTGTTTTGTCTCCTTTTACCCCCTTGGTTGTGAGATGCTGGGCCAGTTTCTGACCCTGGGAACCTCAGCTGTTTCTAGGTTGCCTGTTCCTTGTAAATGAAGACCAGGGCCAAAGACAAGAGAAACACACCACTGAAAAGAAGAAATAAATGTTCGTTCATGTGAACTGAGTAACTTTTCAGTGTGTCTGTCCGTCCTCAAAGCTGATTCTGTGCCCCTGTCTGCAGGGGACTGTGCCCAGGGAACTGGCGTGGGTTCTGTGCATTTTCTAGGTGTTTCTTCCCAGACAAGAAACATAATGTGACAGCAACCCTTTAAGTTGGCCCAGTTTAAAAGGGGGTTTAGGGCTCTGGCCTCTAATCAACCCCCACCCCAGCTTTCTTGTTCCCGTTACTTAGGGAGGCAAGCAACTCCCCTGTGTTCATTCATGGGGGCTAGGTCCCCTTGAAGGGGTTTCTCTGGACCTGGAAGGAAGACATGGACACAGGCTTTCACTCCACAGATGCCATTCTCTCTTGCTTCTCAGGTGCCCTTTTTATCATGTGTTACTGTCTCTAAAATCAGCTGTTGATGGCATCTTGCAGACGCTTTGGCTGGAACTGAACTCAGGTTCTCATGTGGAAGGAGCTACTTGGTTATGCGGCCCCAGGAGCACTTGTGTTCTCTGCCTGTGTTCACACTCCTGGGGGGCATGATGGGTTTCTCTTTTAGCCCAGGTGTATGCAGAGCCCAGGTGTATGCAGGTCCCATCTGTTACTCTCTCCAGCCTGGGCCTTTCCTTCTTGGAGGTACAAAAGAGAGTAATGTCTCTTATCATATAGAGCAGGGCTCAGTAAAATTTTTTTGCAAAAGGTCAGATAGTAGTTATTTCCAGCTCCATCACAATTATTTAATGCTACTTTGTAGATGGTATGTAAATGAACGGACATGGTTGTGTTCCTATAGAGCTTGATTTACGAGTGCAGGTGACCAGGTCTGCATCTGTACTTTGCTGTTCTCTACTCTGGAGCTTATTAAGATTCAGCGATCTAACAGTTATTGAACTCACCATGTGCCCAAGCTGTGTGAGGTACTCAGGACCTAGCTGGGTACTAGGTAGGCAGCCCAGCTTCCTGCCCTCGTGAGCTTATAGGCTAGTGGGAAAAACAGCGCATAAGGACAGGCATAATAAAAGGGTCAGTTGCAGCCTGAGATGAGAGCTTCCTAGGGAGAGAACATGAGACACTAATGGGTGAGGACAGGCACTTGGGAGGTGCAGCCACGGCAGCACCTCTGTGGAGGTGATATTTGATGGCAACTGGGAGGAAATTTAGGAACCCATCTGCAGCACTGGGATATAGTCCCCTACACACCTGTAGAGGGGATGGGGGATTAAGCAAATGAGGCCGAAGACAGTGTGGTCCCAGCTCATGGCTACACTGCTGAGTCGCTGAGATATTTGGGGCTAGTCTGATCATTTATTTCCTTAAATCCATTTTTCTCATCTGTAAGTTGAGAATAAAAAACACACATTATTCCTTTTCTTGCCTTCCCTCCCTTGCAGAAAGTTGGTAGTGGTTCTCCACCAGTGTCCTTTGTTTCTTGGGATTGTCCTAGGGCAGACTGCATGGGACCCCCAAAATCCAGGGTGCTCCTGTGGATGAGAGCCTCACCACCAGGCTCAAGAAGCAGTGCCCAGCCCTGCGAAAGGATCTGGGTGTTGTGGAGTTGGGCACCAGGGCTCTTTCCCATTTTACCTGAGTTTCCCCCATGTCTCTTGGGTGACAGGTGGCAGCTGGAGGCTACACCTACTGCCCCCAACCCCTGTTTAGGCTGCACGTGGAGAGGAACAGAGCCTGGGGTGTCCATCACTGCCCTTCAGAATAGTCCTCTGGCCAGGGCTCCCCAGGTCATGAGAAAAGAGCACCCTATTGAAATGGCCTGGACTTTTGATCTCAGTGGACAGGAGGAGCTGTTAGGGGGCATGATCAGTCTTTCCAGTTCAGTGGACATTGGCCAGCCGCTTTGAGTGCCCAGCTCTGTCTCCTGGCACCAGCCCAGAACCATGTGTTCACCTTGCAACTTCTGCAGACTTCTCAGTCTCCGTGGACTTTGTGGTGTCCACCTGCTCTTGGTGGCCCTTCCTCACCCACTAGGCCCATTCTGCCACTCCCACCATTGCCCTTGGGACCACCCAATGGTATGGGTAAGCTTGTGGACTGGGCCAGGCTAGGCTATAGGATGAGAATGTGGCAGTGCCTGCTGAAAGCCAGGATGCCCATCCTAGCTGCTTGAACCTGCTCTAGCCTCTGGCCTGCAGGGCTCTGCACCTCCAAAGGCTCAGTCTTTCTTGGCTGTTGGCACCTGGGAGTAGAGATCAGTGGGGCTGCTTTGCACAAGTCCTGCAGGGTGTTTATTTTCCCCAGGCTCCACCCCAGGACCGTCTCTCGTGCCCCCCGTCTGGACTGGCTCTGGTCGGAGCAGCGGGAGGACTGTCGGGCACACCGAGGCGGCCAGGGGCCTCTGTGCTCCACTAGCAGGAAGAATGTCAGGTACACCTCAGTGCCTGCCTGCTTGGCTTCCATCCAGATCACCTCCTCGTGCATGATCATTGTGGCGCTGTAGAATCCTGGAACTCGGTGGGGGGGCAGTTGGTAGCCAGAGCAGGTGCCCCCTTGGCCTGGCCCCTGACACAAGTGCCTTCCCTGTCATCATGCACAGGGTCTCAGGGATGAGCACTGTGTCCTGGGGTGTGAGCTACAACACAAGGACTCAGAGGCTGCTGGGGCCACTGGGGGGTGGCAGCCCAGGACAGTCCCGGGCCATTCTCAGGGTGCTCATGGCATGGTGACATATAGCTTTTCCCAGGATTCAGCTCAAGGCCTGTGGTTTGAAATTCTTGCAGTAACGTACCCACACACTTCCAAGTGCTCAAAAATGTGTTTCTAACTGTCCAACTGGCTGACCAGCCAGCCAGCCTAACCTTACATCTCCCAGGGTGACCTTGGTCTGCTCCCCAAGCCATTTCTACCCTGTGCTGATTGAATTCACCATCTACTTACACTTTCAGTATCCTTGGGATTGGCTTGCCTCTCCTGGTGCCCCTGTGGGTGGGAGGCAGGCTGGAGCCGGAAGTGTGAAGTAGGGGTGAGGATATTTCCGGGGTCTATGCCAGGTTCCAACACCAATAGAAATTATCCTGTGTGCTTTCTTGGATGGATCCTATGGAAGCCCATGTTCTGATTGCCTGTGTTTCCCTTAAATTGTTGTTAACAGCAGAATCCTTTGTATTTAAGTGCTCCCATGCCAGTGTCCATGTGTAGCCTGTGAGAATTCTGTGGGCTGGGAAGGGGTTGGGAACCAGGGACTAAATGGCATTGACCAGACCACTTTAACTCGGGATGTCCTGGGCCTGTGCTGCTTAGGTGGGCGGTATTTCTCACCTCCTTAGGCCCCTCTCTCTGGGTACCTTTTAGGTGTGTATGATAGACTTTTGACAACTGGGCCTTAGGTATGAGACTGTAAGGTGGTAGCAGAGGTAAGCTCATTGAGCTGGTTATTTTTATGTGGGAGGAAAAAGGGAAATCAAGGCCCTGATCAGGTTTATGTCCATCCTCAGGGTGTGGTGTCCAATTCACCGGACCCCAGGGTGCTGCTGTTGGCCCGAGGCTGTGTGCTGCGCTTCTGGGGCCGTGCTGCCCCCTGGTGTCAGGTGGTGGAGTCGCGCTCCCTGCCTAGAGGTCCTAACTTGGGCTCCTTATCTTTGCCTTTCAGACCGTGAGTCCATCTTCTTCAACAGCCACAACGTGTCAAAGCCAGAGTCGTCATCGGTCCTGACTGAGGTACATCTCTCCACTGTGATGGCCTGGCCTGAGGCTGCTGACCCCTGGCCTAGGTGTGGAGGTGCTGGTGCCCACGGGTCACTGGCCAAGCTCTCTAGCCTGGAGGGGAGAAAAAGTCCTTTTTCCCCTGCTAGGGGCCCAGGGAGGTTCCAGAGACCCCTCTTCCTCTGCTTCCTTTGGTCTTGGTGTATGGCTGTCACAGTGTCACTAGTTACCCTGTTGCGGGAGGTGTCCTGACTCCTCTGCCGGCATGAGGAAGTCTTCCTTGTGTGGAGTTTGGAGAGCTGCTTTCTAGCCTGCCTCTTTGCCGATTTTAGCAAAGGGGGTGGAGGTAGCATCAGCCCAGCCCTCCTTTGTTTTTCCTTGTCCACGTGAGCCCAGAAGCCTATTACCAGCCTGCTCTGGGCTTCTGTGGCCTGGGGGTGAGTCAGAGGGTGCTATGGGTTGCAGGCACTGTGGCCAGTGTTCAGTGACTGCACTGTGTGCGGTGTGGTCTCACAGCCAGGCCTCCCAGCAGAGGCAAATTAGACTGAGGCTCAGAGAGGTTCACCGACTGTTCATGTAGGGGTAGAGCTGGAATTTGACCCCAGATCTATCTGATTGTAAAGCTGGATCTTGCAGGAATGTGGGACTTCTCAATGGTGACTCCCAAGCAGTTACCTCCAAAGCAGATAGTTAGAAGTGGCCTTGGGGCCACCCTCTGCCATTTCTCCTTATGTCTAACAAGCCTATGGCCTCTGTAGCCACTTCCCTGAACTCAGAGCCCTCTACCAGGACTGCTGTTCATCTCGGCTCTTCTGGCAGGCTTTGCTGTGTCCTCTTCCCTATCCTGGGTGGCCTCACCAACCAGAGCTACGGCAGACCCTTCGCCCCAGCCCAGGTTGCCTATTTATCTGTTGTTCATGTCTGGTACCTTTGAGGGGCCACCTGTGTGCTAAGGGTCAAACAGAGCACAGGCATGGACAGGGACCTGGAGCGAACACCACTGGCCTCAGGGCACTGATAGATGTCCCTCGGGAACAAGTCAGGGGAATTTAGAGCATGTAGATCTTAAACAGAACTTCTCAGTGCCTGGCTGTGCACAATAGGAGATGTAAACAGGTTGCAGTCCAAGAAAAGCTTCAGATTCTTCTTCCCTGTGAGGTTTCTCAGAGCCTTGTTCAGCCGCTGTGGCAGAGGGGAGGTGGCATTCAGACCCCTTGCACAGTGTGGGACAGACAGCACTGGGGGTGTTAACCAATGGCAGCAGACACTGTGAGGGCCTTGAGCCACCCAGAAGTCACCCTCTTAGATTATCACCTGTTGACCACTTGGCCTCAGTCTCCTCGTCTATAAAATAGGAAGGGGAAAGGGATTGGCCTGGAGATGGAGGGGTCTTTCTCTCCAGTTTTAAAGGCTGCCATCAATTCCTCCTTCCCCTTGGCATGTGGCTGCAAGTCAGGAACCTGCTAGGACTGACACAACTTTTTTTTTTTTTTTTTGAGACAGAGTCTCACTTTGTCACCCTCAGTAGAGTGCTATAGCATCACAGCTCACAGCAATCTCCAGCTCTTGGGCTTAAGTGATTCTCTTGCTTCAGCCTCCCAAGTAGCTGGGACTACAGGCACCTGCCACAATGCCCGGCTATTTTTTTTTTTTGCAGTTTTTGGCTGGGGCTGGGTTTGAACCTGCCACCTCTGGCATATGGGGCCAGCACCCTACTCCTTTGAGCCGCAGGCACCGCCCAGGACTGACAACTTTTAAAAATAGAAAAGGGAAATGCAGTCAGCACCACCTTTTCCACTTGGGACACACGCGGAACAACCTGACATAGCCAGCACAGGTCCCAGATAAAACATGCTCCTTACTCATCCACCCACCCTCTACCCACCTGGGGTTACTCCAGTCCCCATCGCAGTCTCCCTGTGCAGTCCCTTGCTCTGGGCTTGAAGCTGCTTCCTCCCCAGCTGGACATCCCCAAGGGTGAATCCAGCCCCACCCCAACTTGCAGGCCCCAAACACCTTTTACTCTTAGGAGGCCAGGGTAGGGTATTGAGTAAGAACCCAGACTCTGGCAGGGTGCCTGGGGCTCCAGCCAAGCTCAGGGTTGTCATGTCACCTCCCTGAGCCTCGACTTCTTCATCCTGCCCCAGAGGGTATCCATAGGATTCAGTGCGTCCCTGGATGAAATGCGCCCACCACCGCGCCTGGTGTACATTTGTGCTCAGTGTCAGCAGAGCCGGGAGGTTGGGGCCATTACAGGATCCACTTGAGCACCTTCCTAGGTCCTGTCGCCTCCTGGTTTTCTAGAACATTATTGGATCATTTGTGTGTTAGGACCATAGGCAGGATTTCCATGCCATTATCTTGTCCTAGGATGGCTGTGGTTTTGGATAATCAAACAGCCTCAGGAGGGTTTCTGAGATGCCTTGGCAGAGCTGAGAGTGCTTTTATGAACAGCATGTCATAAGATGCTGTGATGGAGTGGCCAGCTCCCTTGCTGCCAGGCCCTGCCTGTGAACCTCGGGCATCAGCTCCTTTAGTCCTCACTAGAATCTCGCAGCAGAGGTATTTTTATTACCTTGTTTATTGGGGCAAAAATATAAGACCCAGAAGAGTTATGGTGCAGCCAGGGCATGCGGGGGTGAGGGTGCAGGGCAACACCCATCCCCCCTTAAGTGAGGAGTGCCTAGTGCAGCCAGGCCACCTCTGCCAATCAGAAAACATGAAAACATTTCTCCCTGGTAAGGCATCAGGAAAGTGAGCCAGAAAGGCCCTGCCTGTTATGCAGGGTAGTGCCCTGGTATGTCTCCCTGCACAGCATGTGTCTGGAGCTTGCCAGTGGCTTCTAGGCTGAGATCACTAGAGCTCCGTCCCCTATCCTTCTGACCCAGATTCACTTTTTAAAATTGAGGTAAAATTCACATACATAAAATTGACCATCTTAAAGTGGCCATTTCAGTGGAATTTAGAACATTCACCATGTCTCCCAACCACCACTTCTGCCTAGCTCCAAAATAGTTAATCACCCAAAGGAAAACCCCATGCTTGTTGACGTTCATTCCCTACTGCCTCAGCCCCAGCCCCAGCCCCTGGCACCTGCTGAGCTGGTTTCTGCCTCGTTGGCCATGCCTATTCTGGATGTTTTATAGAAATAGAATCATGTAGAATGGCCTTTTGTGCCTGGGTTCTTTCACTCAACATGATGTTAATTTTTTTGACTTAGGTTCACCTTGACTTTTCACAGGCCAGTCACCTGTCTCCACCCCTCCGGCTCTTTGTCCCTTGAGTCCACAGCCCCCAGAACATCAGTATTTATTGAGCACCTAATGTGGGCTCTGTCTTGGCTGACTTAAAGGTGACACAGTGCAGCCCCTCTTCCCAGTCAGACACGTGTAGTCCCCACCTTATCAATAGCCTCATTATTCCTCCATCTGGGATGGAGACCTTGTTGGTCCCGTTTTAGAGATGAGCAAAATGAGACCCAGAGGCCAGCTGCTTTTCTATGAGGTTACAGAGCTAGGAGGTCACTGCAGGATTTGAATCCCGCAGGGATTCCTAACCCCAGAATCCTTCCCAAGGCAACCTTCCACTTTCTTGGGGGCCCGGGCCAGGGGGTGAGCCTGAGCACATGATTTGTGTGCCTGTCTTGGGCCAGCGGTGACTAGAGCAGGAAATGAGGATTCCAGGGCTGGGTGGGAGAACTGTGGGCTGGGGTAGCCCACCAGCCCTATGGAGGCTTTGCTGAAAGCTGAACTTGGACCCTAGGATACAGGCAGGAACAACAGAGTGACTTCTTTAGGGAAGCCCATGTTGTGTGGAATGTGAGTGAGTTTGGAGATGCTATAGTCATCCACTTGTTGGGGAGGAAGATGGTGCGCCCAGCCTGGAGCCCTAACCTCATGTCCCAAGGCCCTCTGTGATGGTGGGCAAGTGAGGTGCTGATCAGAACACCACTCTGCCCTCGCCCTGTACCCCAGCTGCTTGCACTCATCTCCTGCAGCCTCCTGCCTCCCATCAAGCCCTCCTTGGGGCTTCTCTTCACCACTCCCAAGGGCCCAGATCCTCCTGCCCGCAAGGTCCAGCTCCAGTTCCATCTGCACCATGACAGACTCTCCATGTCCTTCCTGCCTGCTAAGAGGGTTGGGTTTTAGAGGCTAAAAAGTATCAGTCCAAATCCAGCCCTGTGTTTTTTGAGCTGTGTGACCCTGGACCAGCCAGCCCCCAGCCCTCTCTGAGCTTTAGTTTCCCTGTATGTGAAATGCAGCACTAGACTCCCAGGTTGTGGCGAGCAATGGGAAGGTAAAGAGCACCCTATGGTGCCTTGGCCAGTGTTACTGTGGCGGATCTGTCTTGTCGCCTGGCCTAACAGGTGGTTGGGAGGAGTCCCGGGCTTGGTGGGGGGACTGTGGTGGGGCAGCCCACCAGCCTTTGGAGCTGACACTTCTCTTGGGACTTCTCTGTGTGTGGCATGGCATCGTGCCTCCTCCACCCCCAGCTTGACTTCCCTGTGTGTGTTGGCAGCTGGACAAGATCGAGGGCGTGTTCGAGCGGCCCAGTGATGAAGTCATCCGGGAGCTTTCCCGGGCCCTGCGGCAGGCCCTGGGCGTGTCACTTTTCGGGATCGACATCATCATCAACAACCAGACCGGGCAGCATGCTGTCATCGACATCAATGCCTTCCCAGGTGAGCAGCAGGCTAGGTGCCTGGCTGGACCCTGGGGTTTGTGGCCAGACAAGGTGGTGAGACAGCTGGCCTCCCAAGCCAGCCACAGCTGTGGAGGTGGGCCCTGGGGTGATGCAGCCTTGCCAAGTCTCACCCTCACTTGTGAAGTGGGGTCACAGAGCATGGTGAGGAGTGAAGAGACCTGTGCCCAGGGACCATGCTGGGCATAAGAGGGCTGGTACTACACGGGTTCTTCTGCCTCTTCTCTTACCCCTGTGCCATTAGCATCAGCCTTTACTGGCCAAATATTTCATCCCTTTGACCTTTTTAGATTTAAGGAACTGGAATACAACCCTCCCATCCCCCAGTTTAATGTAGGGAAACTGAGGCCCTTAGAGAAGAAGAAACTGTCTAAGGCCCCACAGAGCATTGGCAACAGATGCAGGGACTTCCAGACACAGCTTTCTTCCAGTTCCCTGAGCTATAGCACCGGAGGCAGACCTTGCGAGGGGGCCCCATGCTGGCCATCTGGTTCCTACTACCTGCTGGGGCCCTGGGAATGTGCTGGCACAGAGCAGGGCTCTGCTGTGTGCCCCTCAGATCTCAGCAGGAGTCCAGACATAGGTCTGTCAGGGGATGCCAGTGGTGACATCTGCAGTTGGTATTCACACCAGGCTGCATGTTTCAGCTGGAGACAGAGGCTTGGTGTCTTGTCCACCTCTCACAGCAGCATAGAGGCAAAGGCCAGGTCTAAATCACACAGGCCCAGAACAGAGCTTAATTGCTCACCCTCCTACCGCCATCTCTGCCCCAGATACATTTTCCTCCATTTTTTTTCTTGATTCTAGCCTTTAAGTACTAGAGACTGCGCCTGCAGGTGGGGACTGCTTGGGAGTGGGGTATGACCTCATGCTGTGCAGCTCCTAGCCCCACCAGTGAGCTGGGTATTGATACACGTGTCCCCTCCCCTACTCAGCGCTTGAGCCAACCCAGTAACCACGACTCATAGCCAATGACACTGAGTTCAGAGGAGCCCACTGGTCCCTTCTGTTATTCATCCTAGGGCTGCAGCATTAGCTCAGTGCCCCAGGCCCTGCCCTCAGAGAGCTCTTACCCTAGTTGGGAGGAGACAAAGCAGGTGGCCAGGGGCTGTTGTGTGAGGGAGTGACCTGGAGCCTGAGCTCAGCAGGAAGGGGCGGAGCCCTCACTGAAGATGGGATGTTGGAGTCTGGGCTTCAGAGCTCTAGGGAGACGAAGTTAGAGAGAGACCTTTTGTGTCCAGCTGAGGACGTTGGGTCCCATCCTGGTGAGGTCTGCATCCTGAACAGAAAGTGGGGTGATAGCCTGTTTTTCTCTACCCCCACCATTGCAGTATGGAGGGAGCATGGGTGTAGCTGGAGATGGGGCTTCCATGCATCTTGCAGGAATAGGGTGCAAGGGTATCAAGGGCATTGGGAATCACCAGAATAATGAAGCTCAGGCCCTAATCCACATGGGGGTGGCACAGTGAAAATATGGCAGTGTCAGTGGGCCAGAGGGTCAGGGAGGCATAGGGTGAGGGCTTTGGAGGAAGTTCTAAGAAGGAGGGAGGAGGTGGGGAGAGGGGAAGCTTAGCATCTGAGTGAGGCCAGCCTCTCCCAACACAGACACCTGTGTGGCACAGGGCCCAAGGGTGAGTTGGGGGTCAAGAGGAGGATGGTGAGGTGTGAGGATGGGGAAGCTTCTTCCAGGGAAGCCCAGAAAAGGTCTGCTCAAGGTCAAGTGGAGCTGAGAGGGGCCCAGGCTGTCAGCCTAACCCTATATTCTTGGAGGGAGGTGGTGGGGAGAAGGGGAAGCTTAGCACCTGAGCGAGGCCAGCCTTTCCCAACACAGACACCTGTGTGGGACAGGGCCCAAGGATGGGCTGGGGGTCAAGAGGAGGATGGTGAACTGTGAGGATGGAGAAGCTTCTTCTAGGGAAGCCCAGAAAAGGTCTGCCCCCAGATGGAGGCAGGTATTGAGCTGGGCTGAGGCTGAGCCCAGGGGTACTGGTATGGGCCTGATGCTGAAGGGAAGGTCCAGGGGAGTGTGTTTTGACCCCAGGCCCTGTACAGGGAGGAGATGGCATCTCATTTCTGGCCTTGTTAGAGCATTCTTGGGGCCAAGCAGAGGGGTGGGCCCGGTCCTCCTACACCCCATGGGAGGCCAGCTCAGAGCCACAGGTGTGTAGCAGCACCTGCACTCTGGGAATAACAGCGGCAGCACATGTGTTGGGGACACTTCTATGAGCCAAGCCTGCCCTGAGGGTTGAGCTGCTGCCCCTTCTCTGTCCTCCCAACAGTGTAGTGTGCAAAGGGCTGTTGGATCTGTTTACTGATAAGGGTATGAGGCTGGGAATCAAGTGACTTGGTCAAGGTCAAGTGGAGCTGAGAGGGGCCCAGGCTATCAGCCTAAGCCTAAACTCTTCCCACCTCTCAGAGCACCAGCCATGGGTTCCATTCCTGGCTCTGCCTTTACAGTCAGTGAGGGGACAAGCTACCTCACTATCACTGTTCAGCTTCAGTATTCACTTCTGTATAGTGGGAACAAATTCCTACCCTGTAGGGAGAAGAGATAGTATTTACTTAGTGCCTGGTGTGGAGCTGGCTAATTCATGTCTCAGACTGTTCTCCCTAGCCTCTTGTTTGCCTCACCTCCTCCATAAGGCATACTTCTCACCTGGGCCTCAGGCCTTGTCTGGGGCCGTTGGCAGGGTGGTTGCTTAGGAGTGGCTTCCTATTCCCTGGCTCTTTCCCTGGGCCTCGATCCCCAGACACTCAGTGGCCATGCCTCTAGGCATGGGGCTGGAGAAGGGTCAGCCCTAGATCTGCCCTGCCCTTCACCCCTGCCCCAGGGTTGATGCACATCCCAGTCCTACAGAGGGCACCTGGTATTCAAGGCACAGACTGACCCATAGGGCCTGGTTCAGATCTGGCTCTGCCACTTGGGAGCTTTGTGACACTGCCATCAGCCCTGTTATGGTCAGCAGCTATGTCTTCTGTGAAATGGAACAGAGCTGTGAAGACTAAGTGAGGAGCTGTGGTGTGATCACGTGGAGGCCCTGAGCACCCTCTCTTGTAGCCATCTTTATTTTCATGGTGGGCACCCCTGTGTGCTCCTCAGCCTAGGACTTCCTCACACTATAGCAGCTGTTTGCTGAATGGATAAGATGTGAATAAATCCAGCAGCCTCCCCTGCTGGCCCAGGCACTCCTCACAGGACCCTTCCCCAGGAGGTAGCACGTGTGCAGAGTCTGAGCCTTTGTTTTCATCCCAGCTCTCTGACGGCTGTGACTGTCATCCCATGGGAGATGCCAGTGTGTCAGTAGCCCCCATCCCTCCTCATTGGCTCAGGCAGGCAGGGTCGCTCACCCTAAGTCAGATCTCCTTTGGAGCACTTCCCTGGGCATCAGCAAAATCCTTAACCTAGATCCCAGCTACCTGCTGGGTGGCTCCCAAGGACTCTGCTGACATTCCCACCTGTGCTGGGAAACATTCTCCCCTAGCAGGCACCTCTGGTTTGCATCCCAGAGATAGGGGCCCTTTGTCATGGGTATTAGGTATCATGTGCAGCAGAGCCTTGTTGCAGACCTTGACCTTGTGGGTGATGCCCAGCACCTCTGTCCTGTGGCTTTGATCCTCAGTGTGGAGCACAGAGGGCCTCTCTGCAGGTATGGGGGGCAGCATGCCCCAGCCCTCTCAGTGGTGCTCTCTACAGTGTTCCTCAATTTGCAGACAAGGAGACAGAGGGTCAGGATGAATGTTGTCTCCAGAACTTGGGCTGGGGCCAGGCTCAGCCAGGCTGAGAGGAGTTGAGGGGTGTTTATTACTCAGAGCATGTGGTATGGGCTTTGTACTGCTACTTCCAGCCATGCCACCTACCCACATACTGACTCTCAATTCATGGAGTTGAGTGGGTGGGACAATGGGGCTGCGCGTGAGAGGGATGGGTTTGCAGGTATTTTATCAGCTCAAGTTTTATAGTGTCTCACATCTGGGCAGCAGCCAAAGGTCAGGGACCAGCCCTTCGGGCAGTGAGCACCCAGTTTTGAGTCCAGGCCGTGTGACATCCCTCAGTCCACCTTGTCTGCTGAGCCTTTGTGTGCTGCGTAAATGGCATCCTGAGAGTGACCTCTCTTGGGATCCCCTTAGGCACATTTGTCTCTGTCCATAGGATCTGGTGACACCCCATACTATCTTTCTCTCCCACCACAGGCTATGAGGGCGTGAGTGAGTTCTTCACAGATCTCCTGAACCACATTGCAACTGTCCTGCAGGGCCAGAGCTCAGCCATGGCAGCCGCGGAGGACATGGCCCCACCAAGGCACAGCAAGCTCCCGGCCGAGCAGGCAGGTGGCCTAGCAGGCGAGCGGACGTGCAGCGCCAGCCCTGGCTGCTGCAGTAGCGTGACGGGCCGGGACGCGCCCTGGAAGGCTGAGGCCGACGCAGGCAGCACCACCAAGCTGCCACACCAGAGACTCAGCTGCACTGCTGGCGTGTCGCCCAGCTTCCAGCAGCACTGTGTTGCTTCCCTGGCCACCAAGGCCTCCTCCCAGTAGCCATGGTGCCAGGACCCAGAGGGACGGCGCGGGGCGCGGAGCACACCCGCTGGGCAAGCAGCTACTACTAAGAATTCCCAATGATCTGATTATTCTTTTTCTTAATCTTTAACCTGATTTTCTGATGTCATGATCGGAATGAGGGGTGGGGGAAGGTGGAAAAGAACACCAAGTGGTCCAGCCTCATGGCAAAGGGATGTCCCGCCTGATTCCTGCTGTGCAGATGTCCTCACCGAGTTTACACACGCTTGTGTTTTCAACACTAGGTCTGAATGTGAGGTGGGGGTGTGTGGTTGCCGTGCAAGTGTGTGTGCATATCCGTGTCTGTTGGTCTCCATGGCCGGGCCTCTGGGGACCCTGGAGAGGAGGCTTCCTGGCCAGACTGCCTGGCTGCGCAGAGCATGTGGACAGGTGGTTCCTTTCTAGGACCCCGTAACCCGACTGCCCCTCTTTGTTTTCCCTCTGGCTGGTCTCCTGTGAGCTGCACTCGGCCAGGTGTGCCGCTCACCAGCGCTCCCCAAAGCCAGAGGAGGCACCCCCCTGGGGAGCTCTGGGCTGGGGCCCTGGGCTCCACCGCACCTGCCCTGACAGGGAAAGGAGCTTTCCATGGGCTGAGGTCAAGGCCCCAGCTGCTGCCACTCTTCACACCCCAGTGCACCCAGCACAGGGGCCTAGGCTGATTCCAAGCCTGTGCCAAGGATTTGTGCTGTGATTTGGAGCAAATCATTCCAAAAGTCTCCAGGCCTTCGTCTCTTCGTCTCTAGTGGATATTCAAGCCCCAAGAACCTTGAAGTGCCCTGCTTCTCTGGGAGGTTGTCCAGTGAGGACCAGGCATGGGGGCCTCTGCTTGGTGCTGTGGGGATTGGAGGCCCTCCTTCCAGGCATGGGGAGGCTACCTGTACAGTTCACTCCTGATCACACTGGCCAGGCTCCTCCTTACCCAGCAGGCCAGTCCCCCTCTCCTGTGTGCATTCCAAGCCCCCAAGCACTAGGCCAGCCAGGTGCCAGGGACTACACCTCCCCTACCTTAGGCACCCCCATTGCCATGGTAAGAGGCAAAACCCCAGCTCTCCAGCCTGACCCCAAGGTCCCAGGAGACCAGCAGCCCACTGCAGAGAATAGGGGGTGGGCGAGGAGCTTTCTTAATCCCTAGAAGGTATGGGACACTGGGTGAGGTGTGTGGGGCCCCCTGAAGATGGTTTTGTGTCTTAAGATACCAGTTCACTCTTGAGAAAAAGAGCTCTAGACTGTCCTCTGACCAATAGGACAGGACACTGGAAGGAGAGCTATGTGCCAAGAGAGTCTGTGGAGTGGCTCAGTGGGGCATGGGAGGCACCCCCTTTGAGAAAGGAGGGGCTGGGCCTAAAAGAGGAAGAAGTCATCGGACTGGCCAGATATTTTGGAAACTGAGGGCCCAATGACTAACCACGTTTACACAACTTGAGTGTTGAACCCTGATTAATGTCTGTATGTCGCCTTTCCTAGTTCTGATCCCAAGCCCAGGGAAGCAGGAAAGTGTGGCTGGCCTCTTGCACTGCTTTGTCTCCAAAATAAACTACTGAAATCAAACTGCATTTCACACGTGTTTACAAAGTATTGAGTTTGTTATGTCTTTCTCCCAGTCCTTAAAGAGATGTATAATAAAACAGCTTTACCTTTTAAAAAATAAAATGACAGTCCCAAATTGCCTCAAACAGCTGGGGTGTGCAGTGTGACTCCTGGCCATATCGTGTGCCTATACACAGTTTGTGGTCTCTCCAGGGCCTGGCTTACAACCGTTTTCTGCTGATGTGCAGGGGAGTTGCCTTTTCCAGGAGGGGAATCAAGGAGTACCGTTGTGCTACACGAAGGCCTGGAAGCCATGAGGCAGTGTGGGGAGGACTAGAGCCCATCCAGGCGGGTGGACACTGCTGTTCACCCAAGTGGAGGGAGTGTAGGCTTCAGTGGCCAGGTGAGAGCCTTCTCTGCACGTCCTACAGGTGCATACTGACCTTTTTATGGTCCCCCTAATTTCCCCTTAGGCCTCCTTGTCTTGGCCTTAAGCTGAGCCCTAGCAGCCCCCCTTCTCTGGGAGATGTAGGTGCTGTCTCCTTAGTAGAGTCAGAGTGTCTTAAGGCCTGTGGGAAGGACCTGCTAAGCAAAAGATGCTGCATGGTGGCTCCTTGAGTTGGCCCTGCCCAGTGTCATATGGGAGTTGGCACTGTCACTCACTAGCTTCCAAGTGGGAAGCTTGGAAAGCTCTCCAACTCTGGAAAGCACTCCAAAGCTCTGTGGCCCTGTGGCATCAGTCTCAGTGGTCAGTGGATCCAGTACTGAAGGGTCCTGGAAGCAAGTGGCAGAGCCACTCTGTTTTTTTTTTTTTTTTTTTTTTTTAATTGTTGGGGATTCATTGAGGGTACAAGAAACTAGGTTACACTGATTGCAAAAGTCCCTCTTGCAATTGTGTCTTGCCTCCAAAGGTGTGGCACACCCCAAGACCCCACCCCGCTCCCTCCTTCCCTCTCTCTACTCTTCCTTTCCCCCACCCCTCTCTCCTTTCTTTCTCTGCTCTCCCCTTCCCCCACCCCCACCGTGTCATTAATTGTCCTCATATCAACATTGAGTACATAGGATTCATGCTTCTCCATTCTTTTTTTTTTTTGAGACAGAGCCTCAAGCTGTCCCCCTGGGTAGAGTGCCGTGGCATCACGCTCACAGCAACCTCCAACTCCTGGGCTCAAGCGAGTCTCCTGCCTCAGCCTCCCAAGTAGCTGGGACTACAGGTGCCCGCCACAGCACCTGGCCATTTTTTTTTGGTTGCAGCCATTATTGTTGTTTGGCGGGTCCAGGCTGGGGATTCGAACCTGCCACCTTAGGTGTATGTGGCTGGCGCCTTAGCCGCTTGAGCCACAGGCGCCGAGCCGCTTCTCCATTCTTGTGGTGTTTTACTAAGAATAATGTGTTCCACTTCCATCCAGGTTAATACGAAGGCTGTAAAGTCTCCATTTTCTTAATGGCTGAATAGTATTGCATAGTATACATATACCACAGCTTGTTAATCCATTCCTGGATTGGTGGACACATAGGCTGTTTCCACATTTTGGTGATTGTAAATTGAGCTATGATAAACAATCTAGTGCAAGTGTCCTTACGATAAAAGGATTTCTTCTCTTCTGGGTAGATGCCCAGTAATGGGATTGCAGGATCAAATGGGAGGTCTAGCTTGAGTTCTTTGAGGGTTCTCCATACTTCCTTCCAAAAAGGTTGTATTAGTTTGCAGTCCCACCAGCAGTGTAAAAGTGTTCTCTCTCTCCACATCCACGCCAGCATCTGCAGTTTACAGATTTTGTGATGTGGGCCATTCTTGCTGGGGTTAGATGGTATCTTGGGGGTGGTTTTGATTTGCATTTCTCTAATAATTAGGGATGATGAGCATTTTTTCATGTTTGCTAGCCATTTGTCTATCTTTAGAGAAGGTTCTATTCATGTCTCTTGTCCATTGATATGTGGGATTGTTGGCTTTTTTCATGTGGATTAATTTGAGTTCTCTATAGATCCTAGTTATCAAGCTTTTGTCTGATTCAAAATATGCAAATATCCTTTCCTATTGTGTAGATTGTCTATTTGCTTTGGTTGTTGTCTCCTTAGCTGTCCAGAAACTTCTCAGTTTAATTAAGTCCCATTTGTTTATTTTTGTTATTGTGTAATTGCCATGGCAGTCTTCTTCATGAAGTCTTTCCCCAGGCCGATATGTTCCAGTGTTTTTCCTATGCTTTCTTTGCTTTTGGAAAAGTAATATCCATTTGCTTTTCTTTCTTATTGTTTCATGCCTTAAATTTAAGTCCTTTATCCATCTTGAATTAATTTTTCTGAGTGGAGAAAGGTGTGGGTCCAGTTTCAGTCTTTTACATGTGAGTCTCCAGTTCTCCCAGCATCATTTATTGACTAGGGAGCCTTTCCTGCAGTGTATGTTTTCGTTTGGTTTATGGAAGATTGTTTCATTTCTTGGTTTTCTATTCGATTCCAAATGTCTATGTCTCTGTTTTTGTGCCAGTACCATGCTGTCTTGACCACTATAGCCTTGTAGTACAGCCTAAAATCTGGTATGCTGATGCCTCTGGCTTTGTTTTTATTTCTAAGAACTGCTTTAGCTATACAGGTTTTTTTCTGGTTCCATATAAAACGCAGAATCAGTTTTTCCAAGTCTTGAAAGTACGATGCTGGTATTTTAATAGGGATGGCATTGAATCAGTAGATTGCTTTGGGAAGTATAGACTATTTTTTTTTTTTTTTAAGAGACAGAGTCTCACTTTATTGTCCTCGGTAGAGTGCTATGGTGTTACAGCTCACAGCAACCTCCAGCTCCTGGGCTTAGGCAATTCTCTTGCCTCAGTCTCCTGAGTAGCTGGGACTACAGGCACCCACCACAACACCCAGCTACTTTTTTGTTGCAGTTTGGCCGGGGTTGGGTTTGAACTCGCCACCCTTGGCATATGGAGCCGGCACCCTACTCACTGAGCCCCCAGCACTGCCCAGAGAAATACAGACATTTTAACAGTGTTGATTCTTCCCAGCCATGAGCATGGTATGTTCTTCCATTTGTTAATATCCTCTGCTATTTCCTTTCTTAGGGTTTCATAATTTTCTTTATAGAGGTCCTTCACTTCTTGTTAGGTATATTCCTAGGTATTTCATTTTCTTCGAAGCTCTGGTGAAGGGAGTTGTGTCCTTACTTAGCCTCTCATCTTGGCTGTTATTGGTGTATACAAAGGCAACTGACTTGTGGACATTGATTGTATATCCCGAGACATTACTGTGTTTTTTGATGGCTTCCGAGAGTCTTGTGGTTGAGTCTTTGGGGTTCTCTAAGTATAAGATCATATCCTTTGCTCCCATTTGGATGCACTTTATTTCCTTGTCTTGCCTAATTGTATCGGCTAGAACTTCCAGCACTATGTTGAATAGTAATGGTGACAGAGGACAACCTTGTCTGGTTCCAGTTCTAAGAGGAAAAGCTTTCAGTTTTACTCCAGTAAAATATTAGCTATGGGTTAGTCATAGATAGCTTCAATCAGTTTAAGGAATTGTCATCTATGCCTATACTCTTCAGTGTGCTAATTAGAAAAGGATGCTGGATTTTATCCAATATCTTTTCTGCATTGAGAGGATCATATGGTCTTTGTTTTTGCTTATGTTAATACGGTGGATAACATTTATGGACTTGCATGTGTTAAACCAGTATTGCATCCCTGGGATGAAACCTACTTGATCATGATGTATGACTTTTTTGATAATAAGCTATCATCTATTGGCTAGGATTTTGTTGAGAATTTTTGCATCTGTATTCATTAGTGAAATTGGTCTGAAGTTCTCCTTTTTAGTTGGGTCTTTTCCTGGTTTTGGTATCAGGGTAATGTTTGCTTCATAGAATATGTTGGGGAAAATTCCTTCCTCCTCAATTTTTCGGAATAATTTCTGCAGGTCGGGAATAAGCTCTTCCTTGAAGGTTTGATAGAATTCTGGTGCGAAGCCATCAGGACCAGGGCATTTTTTTGTTGGAAAATTTTTTATTGTTTCTTTGATCTCAGTGCTTGAAATTGGTCTGTTGAGGAGCTCTGTTTCTTCCTGGCTAAGTCTAGGGAGAGGGTGTGATTCCAAATATTGATCCATTTCCTTAGCATTGTCAAATTTCTGTGCATAGATTTCTGGTGGTATTCAGAGATGATCTCTTGTATCTCTGTGGCATCAGTTGTTATTTCCCCTTTATCATTTCTGATTGAGGTTACTAGAGATTTTACTTTTCTATTTCTAGTTAGTCTGGCCAAAGGTTTATCTATTTTATTTATTTTTTTAAAGAACCAACTCCTTGTTTCATTAATTTTCTATATGATTCTTTTTTTTTTCAATTTCATTGATCTCTGATTTAATTTTGGATATTTCTTCTGCTGGGTTTAGGCTTGGATTGTTCTTTTTCCAATTCCATAAGATGGCTTGTGAGTTTGTTGATGCGCTCTCTTTTTGTTTTTCGAAAGTTTTTCTCATCTAAAGTGATAAATTTTCCTCTCAGAACTGCTTTTGCAGTATCCCACAGGTTTCGGTAGCTTGTGTTTTCATTGTTGTTGTGCTCAAGGAAGTTAATGATTTTCTCTTTTATTTCTTCCTGCACCCAACTGTCATTCAACAGAAGGTTGTTTAATTGCCATGCCTTTGTGTGGGGTTGAACACTTTTGTGGAGTTGAGTTCCACCTTTAGTGCCTTGTGGTCTAAGAAGATACAAGGTAAAATTTCAATTCTTTTGATTCTGTTGAGGTTTGTTTTGTGTCCTAGAATATGATCAATTTTGGAGAATATTCCATAGGGCGATGAGAAGAATGTAAATTCTTTATCTTTGGGATGGAGTGTTCTATATGTGTCTATCAAACACAATTGTTCTAGGGTCTCATTTAAATCTCTAGTATCTTTGTTTAATTTCTGTTTAGAGGATCTGTCCAGCTCTGTAAGAGGAGTTTTAAAGTCCCCTGTTATTATGGTGTTATAGGATATCATGTTGCTCAGACTGAGTCAGGTCTGTTTCAAGAATCTGGGAGCAGTTAAGTCGAGTGCGTAAACATTTAGAATTGAAATGTCTTCTTGTATTTTTCCCTTGATCCATATAAAGTGACCATCTTTTTATTTTTTGACTTTAG